TAGGACATCTACCTTCAAGGATTCTAAGTTGAACCGTTGGACATAATANTAGCCCTTATAAAATTGAGCGAGGGTCTTCCAAGGAGCATATTGTATGCTGAAGGTGCGTCAACCATTAGGAATTTCATAGCNCTACGCGCTTGTCTCCTTGGACCACTCCAACTCCGTTTTCTGTTGGAAACTTCACTATAAGTTGATAGGCAGAGGGAATAGCCCTTATAAAATTGAGCGAGGGTCTTCCAAGGAGCATATTGTATGTTGAAGGTGCGTCAACCATTAGGAATTTCACAGCTGTAGTAGTCTGACAAGGTGGGTCACCTAAGGTCAAGATGAGTTGGATTGACCCTAGGGGCAGCACCTTTTCTCCTNTAGGTGTTGAGGTGGTCCACGGGATCTTTTGTCCCATCGAAAGCATCCACCTGCGATATTCTGAATTTAGGTGGGAGAGAGAAGTGCAGCACCCCAACAGTGAATGGGGATTCGATTAGCTGCACCAACCCCAGCAATGAATGGGGATTCGATTAGNATCTTTTGTCCCATCGAAAGCATCCACCTGCGACATTCTGAATTTAGGTGGGAGAGAGAAGTGCAGCACCCCAACAGTGAATGGGGATTCAATTAGCTGCACCAACCCCAGCAATGAATGGGGATTCGATTAGCTGCACCAAGGCATCCATACTGNGCTTTTCCCTCCCTATATCCATTTTGTCGAAAGCAGAAGCAAAAATGATGTCTGCTANGAATCCCAATAGGTGGGCACTTACTGGTTCAAGCTTTTCCCTCCCTATATCCATTTTTTCAAAAGCAAAAGCAAAAATGATGTCTGCTAAGCTGTCATTGTCAATCAAAACACGATGGATAATCCTGTTGGCCACCACAGCTCTTACTACCAAAGGGTCGTCGTGGGGATGTTGGCAGCCCTCCAGATCTGAATCTGAGAAAGTGATAGCCGTGTCGAAGCGTGGAGATTTAGACACAGTATATACTTCGGGAGCTTCTGTGGCTCTGATTTTTCGCAAGNTTTGAAACGTTGCTCCCAGTGGTGTTCTCTTCTCTCCTGTTGATAAAGGAAGAAGTCGCTCCTCTCCCCTTCCTTATACTGACTTTGCACTTCCTCGTTGTGTCTATTCCTAGGGGATAGTCGAGGTTCTTGCCCGAAGGTCTAGCTATTCTCTCCCACCTCATTAACTTCTCTGAGGGGGTCGAGATGCAGTTGCTCTCTTGGTGGTGGGTTATTCTGGCCTCCTTGGGTCGGTCGTGTCTCCGGTGGACGTTGTAGGAGCTTTAAGAGCTCTTCGTTCTGTTTTATCAGACGTTCATTGACAAGACGAAGGGCCTCCATCTCATTATTCATGGGAAGGCCCCCCCATGGGGGGATCTGCTTCTTGAGCGTTTTCGGGTTGCCTGTTATTTACGGCTTCCTATTGATCTTGCATCCGTAAAAGATTAGTCTGACTTTGACTCATGTTTCGCATTGATACCATCAGTCACTGGAACATCAGTTTTATTTGAAACAGAAACAATCGTTCCCACTGACGGCGCCAAACTGATAATGTATTTCAATGTGATGAGAATTTGTGATGATGAGTAAATGAAAGAAAACAATATTAAAATTGTTAGGATCTGAGCTACTAGACTTGAGTGAATGATACTGAAAATTGTCGGGGAATTGGGGATTAACACAGTAGGAATATAGTGGTTCACCAGCTCGGGAGCTCGGCTAATCCACTCTTTAATAGAGACTTTTGCTCCTTGTCTTTCAATAATGATGATTGCAAGAGTACAATGGCTAGTTTTTGCCTCTAGGGTTCCTCTCGTTCTTTGGGGGCGTTACATAGTATTTATAGGGTTGTTCCCTATTCAGTGGGGTCTTAGCCGAGATTTTTGCCCTTATTTTGTGGGGTTCTCCTTAATTATAGGAGAAGATCTTGATTGGTTGAGATTAAGTGCATTGATTATTGTTTCCTAACGCTTTTAAGAACCTCTCGTGATCTTCCAGCTGTTGCCTTAGTTGTTAATGCCCTTGCTTATCTCGAAGGGACCTCTAACTCTACTCTTCTGAGTTCTGATCGTCTAGTCTGATCTCCTGAACTGAGCTGACTTTCTGAGCTGGCGTTTGAGATTTATTTTGAGGTATCATCATTGTCCATACCAATTTTATGTATCACTTTGTTTATATCACCGATGTGACACAATCATAATTATTTAATACTTAATAAACTCTACGAGACCCATTAATTTAATGGTTAATGTTGAAATATTACATAAAAATAATTCAAAAAGATAAGTATATACCAAATGAACACCGTAGAAGATTATAGCAGAGGGGGACATTTTATATCATTTAGAGAGAGAGAGGTCTTGCAAGCACCAGAAACTTCTCTTTCCTCTTTTGCCCCAGAACTAGAAGAAAACCCCAGAAGCGTCTCCCCATGACTATAAATATGCATCTCACCTCCCCCAACTTTTCATCATTCAAAAATTCAATTCTCTGTCTTCATTCGCTTCCAAACTCCACATCTCTAATTTCAGTTTTACTCGAACACTTCCAAACTATATCGCTCATTCCAAGCATCTTCGGGGGCCGACGCACCAACGTCTTCGACCCATCCTCTCTCAACATTTGGGACCCCTTTGATGGCTTCTTCACCTCTGCCCTCAGCAACGAACTCAATTCAGCCCGCGAAACCTCTGCATTCGCCAACACACGAATTGACTGGAAGGAGACGCCGGAGGCTCACATTTTCAAATCTGACCTCCCTGGACTGAAGAAAGAGGAGGTGAAGGTTGAGGTCGAAGAGGGAAGAGGGAAGAGTTCTCTAGATAAGTGGAGAGAGAAGCAAAGAAAAAGAGGAGAAAAAGAACAAGTGGCATCGCGTTGAGAGGAGCAGTGGCAAGTTTCTCCGGCGGTTCAGGTTGCCGAAAAATGTGAAGATGGAGGAGGTGAAGGCTAGTATGGAGAATGAAGTGTTGACTGTTACTGTGCCTAAGGTGGAAGAGAAGCAGCCTGAGGTGAAGTCTGTTGAGATCTCTGGCTAAGACGACAAAACACTCCCTAGTTGTTTTCTGTTTGTCGTGTGCTGTGTTTGTGACCACTGTTTGTCTTGCTTGTCTTATCATCTCATCTGGGATAAAATAAAGTTAGTCTGTTTTTGTGCCTCTAAGCTAATAGACAGACACGTAAGGGGCTTTACAACAATGGCGTTAAGCTGGTTTCTTGTTTTTAATAAAAGAATGTGATTTCTTTTTAGAAAATAAAAGGGTAGTGTAACATATATATATATATATATATAAATCCTTATCATTCAAAGAGAATTGAAGACTATCTAGTAGGGTGGTCTAATTGGTTAATGATGTTAAAGTTGAAAGTTTGAGTCTTATAGTTTGGAGCTCGAAAGTTTATTATGTTAATTTAGGTAGGTTTATTTTTTATAAGAATAATGGATGGTCTATAGGTGTTTTTTTTTGCCTCCATTTTTATTCTTACAAACAAAAAAATAATAATAAGAGAGAAAATTGAAGGATTTTTTAATTCTTGAAAAATTGGAAGAGAGTCGAACCCGTAATAGAGTACGGGTAATGGACCAAAGCAGTACAGGTTTAAAACTACGTAACATTAAAAGCTTCCACAGTTGGGACAAAAATATAACATCAAGATACAAGTATTCATTGAAGCACACACTACTTGTAAAAAAAGGTAGGACAAGCAGAAGATAAACATATTGTGACACTAGCTAGGATGATCGAACCTCAATGTTTCTACATGCTCTGTTTCTGTCAAGATGGAGCTCTGCTTCTTTAACATATCTGCAAGGTATAACAACTGTTACCCAAATTCTTAAATCCCAAAGGAACATACCTTATAGTGACTGATCTAGTCTGTGTACGTCTTATTTTTGTTTCCGGAGCAGGTCATGGGCCACAGTCCACTTCGACCCATCGAGTTTGCCAGCCTGGCCCATCAATCATACTGGGAGACCCGCCAAGGAACTAGTGAATTCGGAAATTTTATTGTTTTATATTTCTCCAAAGTCCAAGATTATATATAGAATTTAGGGGTGAAATTTGGACGAGTCAACTCGAATTCAATCCGAGCCCAACTCGAAAGTTGCAAGGCTTGAGTTAGAATTTTTAATATTTTAGTTGAGCTTGGACAAAAAAATTTCAACTCGAATTAAATTCGAGCAAACCTTGGATTGAGACTTCGGGTTGTCGGATTCAACCCAAATATTAAAATCGGGTTGAACCTGATTATTAAATAAATAAACTATATAAATATATTTAGTTAAAGTTAATATTTATGTTCACTCTTCAAAATCTAGACTTTTACTTCATTTCAAGTCTTCACTCCTGCGTTTCCATCACTCTCAGATCCCTCTCTCACTCGTCTCTCATCTACTCTCAGACTCTCAGCGTTCCTCTCTCACGCGTCACTCTTCCCTCTCTCACTCCTTATCTTTTCATCCGCGGCTCGTCTTTCATCTCAAATCACTTGAAAAAATCAAATTTAAATGTCAAAAAATCAAGTCAAATTAAGTAATCCAAGTTCAACCCAATTTTTTACCTGAAATCAGTCCGAATTAAGTAATTCAATTTCAACCCAAACTCGTCCAAATTAAACTTTGACAGTACTCAAATTGAGTACCTTGAATTCAGATAGTGTTAAAATTAGGATTGAAAATTATATACTTAAAGTTGGACTATGATTAACCTCTCAATCCGCCCAAGTTACACCCCTAACAGAATTGGCACTCAAGAAATTTATAAATATTTTCTAACATTTTTTTATTCTTCTTTATCAATGAAGTCTCCTCAATCAATAAAGAGGTATTTTTTTAAACTCAATTTCAACTTTACTGCCCCAATTTATGATTTTATAAAGGACAACGAGGTTTGTTGGTACCTCATACACCTATGCATAACAAAACTAAAGGAATTGAATTCCAGTGACCAGTTGCTGGGGGTTGAGTTGAGTATTGAACTATATATCCTCTTTATAATGAATAAGAGCCTAGGGAAGGGAAAAAGCAAAAAAAATTGAAAATTCCCCATGCTGAACGAAACCATCTATAATTCCTGTTAGCCTAAGAATTGTGCGGTCCACCAACGAGCTCAAGCCACTGGATACAAATGAAAATGATGCCAAATTTCTGTCCAAGGTTAGCTAGTCAAATTACGCCAAAAGGACCAAAGTTTGAATGCTAAAACCACATTTCCTATACCACATCCTAAAGTCATTTTCTACATTTCACACGGGAGAGAAATTAAAACACCATCAGCAGGATCTTCAGAGGTACGAGATGATTTTGTTGTGTTTAATCGGAACAAAGTTTCACTCATAAGCCAGTACATCTGCCAACTTTCAACAGGCGACCATGTTGGAATGATAAAATGCCCTGCGAACTTGTTCATGCAACCTCAGGTATTATACAGTGAAGTATTTACCGTATGCCCAAGTCAAAAGAATACCTATTTGTTAGAAAGCAAAGCACCATTTGTAGCTAGGACAGCGAATATGCACGAGTGTTATCGTTTTGCTGTCAGGAACTCCTTTAAATTCCATAAAATTCCCTTGTTATAAGGATTTGTAAACCTTATCTCAGGTACGGGCTGCCCTGCACAGAGAAAGCAATAAAAGATCAATTTCATAAAGGATGGTTAGAAAACTATGCCCCGCAAGCAACTTACCTGGCTGGGGTGGGACAATTAGTTGGAACTCAGGATATCTCCTCCAGTTTATCTGCAAACCATGACAATAGCAGTCATCAATACCGCAAAATCAGGAAATTCAGAAATACCATAAAATCGGTCTGGACACACAAATATTTTAAAACATTTTTAAGTTTCATCTGTTAAAGGCTACAGAATCAAAAAATAAATTTGGAACTTAAAGAAGCCCATGTGATAAATTCAAATGTAAGTATAGTCTGTATAGATGTAGGAATTTACCCACTCATCAGTTTTGATATTGAAACATATACAATACACATGCCATACCAAGAAAGCCACCTAGACATTCATCAATAATACTCTAGTCAGTACATTATCAGCTGATAAAACAGGCTACATCCCACATTTTTCAGAAAGAGCAGAATTAATACATAACCAGAAACAGTATACACCTGCCAAACCACTTGAAGACAAGAGAATAGCATTGTGCTAATAGCCAAATTTCCAGATAAACTAGTCTGCATAGATAATATCAATACGACATAAAGACAAGGTTAAGGTGTCACATGGGCTGTGATGCCAGTACAGCAAAGCACAATACAAAAAGAGCTATTAAATACTGATAATCAACACATAAGAATGCATGATCTTGTGAGAAATAAAATACCTCCCACTCAGCTTTCCCCAGTATATGAGATTTTGTGGAAACTGAAATACAGAGACAATCCGTGTCAAAACATATTATCCCACCAAAGAAGAAAGGAAAGAACACACACATATCAAGTGCTTTGCACTGCATAATCAAACACATGAAGAGAAACTGAAATGGAAGACACCAGTACAAACTCCACTTCATGCTTAAAAGTCAGAAGCTGAGAGTTGAGGATGAGGAAAGCTCAGCACAACCTAGTCCCCACAATTATATGCCTTTTTTACTCATACAAACTTCACAAACTATAGGCGCACCATGGTGTAGGGTCAACTAACATCTAAGATAGATAACACCACCACCACAGGTACTGTACACCATAATAGTATTGGAGGATATAGAAAGTATAACAATATAAATATTGGTATCAGAGAAGCCGAATATGGAATTGGCATGGCAAACCCAAAATGTGATGATAGAGGCAATGGGAACAGTTAATGAGGTTATTCATACCTCTTCCAACATAGACATATGAGCACACACGGAAACATGTCTATGTTGTCACAGGTTCACTAATAGTTTTGGACCATCAACATTACAGCTGTCTGGCACTTTGAGCTGTCTGATATTTTTGTTAAATCATGGGTATCATGTCTTTCAACACCTTTGACCAATGTTCTTACAACCTTAACTCAGCCATATGACTAGTACTTGTAGATGCAGCCATTTGTTTTCATTGCAGTTCCAAATATGTTTTGCTCAAGTGTTCCCCCTAGTTGACAAGGAACATTTTATTAAGCCAATAAGGTCTGCAGTAATTTCATTTTTTTCCCACTGACGACTGCAAATTCTATTCTTCGTTAAACATTTTTCACCAAAGGTTTAGGTGAAAAACACCAAATGGTATTTAGGAATTCAGTTCAACTGCATATTTAGGGATCTTATTGAAATACCATATATGGAGAGCAATGGACCTTCATAAGCATTCTTGACACCATTTGAAAATCTGTAAATTGACGACATTGATCGAACTTGCTAAATGATTCTCATTTTTCAAAACCTAGCCTGTCCTTACACATTATATACTTTGTAGTTTGTAATGACCCTAACAGATATTAGAAGTTTTGGTTTGCTTGTTGACAATACAGTCTAACTGGTAGGCCATTTTGAGTCAGCTCCATCTCTAGCCATTTATGCGCAATTAGATGCCACATTATACAATAACAGATATCTGTAACGAAGTACAGAAAACACGATTGATCAAAGCTTACACTGAGATGAGCATGTGATGTAAGAACACTCAGATATAATAAATCCAACTAGGAGAAATATGAAGAGGGCATGGTTTCCTTGACCTGCATGAAAAGAACATCACCTTCAGCATCCACTAGGGTATATTTCTGCACACAAAGCCATGTCCTATACCGAAATCTTTAAGGAAAGTTCACAAGAAGACAGAAAAGTGTAGAGCTGCAGTTCTTACAAGTAGGCTTTTTTAACAAGAGAAAGTATTGAACAAAAACCCATACTATTTGCCGTTACCTATACAGTTCCCAAAAGCAGGACAATGGTGATCAAATCCCTTTACATACGCCTTGCATTGCCTGCAATATCTTGCCCTCTGAACCAACACAGAACTCTATGAAGGGGCATACAAGGCAAATATTTTAGATGATGCAATATTATAACTAAAAAGTAAACATAGAAAAGAAAGTGACAGTAATCCTTAACTCCTTCAACAGGAAAATCTTGTGGCATGCCACAACTCAAAAGCTCCAATTCCTGCACATGTACATAAGATCAGCACGATGTTGTGCTATCTAAATGGCTTGTCAATGTATACAACCTCTGAATGGGCTTCTACTTCATGTTTTTCAAGACTGGAAGATTGGTGCATAATGAAACCAGGGTCACTTGACAAGATACTGCCACCAAAAATATGCATGTTATTGTATAACATATAGGATGAAAGGAATTTAATGTGAGAAATATCAAACCTCTTTTGTGTGCAAAAGAACAACTTATTTAAGTCTTGAAAGTGCAAGAAGCTGACCAACATAGACCAGTTACAAGCATAAGAAGTTCCATGTTGAATACAATGTCCAACAAAGGTGAGATGGCTGCAAGGAAGTAATACATTTAAAGTTGTAATGCTGCCCAGATCCAACAGAAAAAGTTTATTAGCTTGCATAGAATCAGGCGGCGATGTAAATGGAGACTGAGTCAGCAACCACAAGTCTGATTGTTTTTAGATTAAGCATTTTCCAGCTATGCACCCTTAGACATGAGCACACACAGCTTAGGCATAATNACATAGAAAAGAAAGTGACAGTAATCCTTAACTCCTTCAACAGGAAAATCTTGTGGCATGCCACAACTCAAAAGCTCCAATTCCTGCACATGTACATAAGATCAGCACGATGTTGTGCTATCTAAATGGCTTGTCAATGTATACAACCTCTGAATGGGCTTCTACTTCATGTTTTTCAAGACTGGAAGATTGGTGCATAATGAAACCAGGGTCACTTGACAAGATACTGCCACCAAAAATATGCATGTTATTGTATAACATATAGGATGAAAGGAATTTAATGTGAGAAATATCAAACCTCTTTTGTGTGCAAAAGAACAACTTATTTAAGTCTTGAAAGTGCGAGAAGCTGACCAACATAGACCAGTTACAAGCATAAGAAGTTCCATGTTGAATACAATGTCCAACAAAGGTGAGATGGCTGCAAAGAAGTAATACATTTAAAGTTGTAATGCTGCCCAGATCCAACAGAAAAAGTTTATTAGCTTGCATAGAATCAGGTGGCGATGTAAATGGAGACTGAGTCAGCAACCACAAGTCTGATTGTTTTTAGATTAAGCATTTTCCAGCTATGCACCCTTAGACATGAGCACACACAGCTTAGGCATAATGGATGATAAGACACACACATTCTGTTAAACCCCATTAATCAGTGATCTCCAAATGCCTAAGGTCAAGCTAACTGTTTAAAAGAAGTATTTAAAGGAAACGGATTTGAGTCATAGTTAAATGCTGAAGCATAAAAGCAAATTTCACTCATGAAGCCTAATTATGGAGACATATTCAGTCCTTTAAGAGCTTCAGCTGAATTGCCTTTTTTGAGAAATGGACCTTTATACACACACTGGAAGGCTGAAACTACTCTTTTTTGAAACAAACAGCAATAGTATGACATATATTCTAACATATTAAGTACAATCCAATTTTTCAGATAAATTATACCACTAACAGGGTGACAAATTCCCTGCAGAACAAGATAGTTATCTATATCCATAATTCTTCTTTTGTTTCCAGGATGTGCAATAACTCTATCAGAAACTGATATACAACCTAGTTCATGAGGCATTAATTTACAAGAAATGTAATATGCGGCGAAACAAAGAACAAAGAAAGGATAAAACTTAACTATTTAATAATATTAAAAATAATCTATGTGGTATCTACTTAACATAAAAAAAAAACCCATAGGACACCAATGGTGTCTTCTACTCTTTTAGCGAATTTAGCTATTTTGTATTTCTTTGTCCTATTTCATTTTTGAATTCTAGCATTCTCCTCATCATAGTTCTTCCTCTATCCATGAATCTATTTCTAAATTCCTCTCTTTTCCCTTATAATGATGGGTTGTATACGCATTAATTTTTGATATTCTAACTTGCCTCAAGTACCATGAGCCTGCTTGTCCCTTACATATGTCACCATGTTTTTATTACTAAGCAATTATTTGTGTCTACTTTATATTCCAATTGTTTTATCACATTTGGTTAAACGTACTGAAGGATATGCTCAACCCTAAAGGGAATGTCATTAATTTTTGCATAGTGACTCGAGAAGTTGTTTTCATAATTGCCTTTGATAATACTTCTACAAAATTTTGAAAGGCTATTTGACTTCATCAAAAGTGTTTCACTATTACATATACTCTCATTCCAAAAACAAATTGTTGCTCTGTTTGTTATTTTTCATTTAGTTATCATCAAAAGATCAACAACAAAACCACAAAAAAAAAATTAGTTACCACCAAGTCCCGCCCATTACACCAAATCCTCAAGTACTAAAAATTAACTAACAAATCCAGATACTAGACAAATTTATTTATACCTGGAACGGACTATCTCTCTCCAATACACATAAAAAAATTTGTTCATAACTTGATCCAGTTTTAAAATAAACAATTAACATTAAAAAATAATCATGATTGAGAATTAAGAGTAGGTACCTTGCCGAACCACAGCAATATGAACGCACCAAATGGACAATATATTGAAGAAAACGAAAGCCGGAGCCGATGCACGCACTCCAACAAGTTTCTTGCAGCATCTACCGAAACCAACCACTGCCATCAGCACTAGAACTGCAATACAAAATCAAAACAAGCTTCGAACATAATTATACACACAGATATGTATATATTATCTATACGAGATGAGAGAGAGATTGAGAAAACCTGAGAGAGAGAGAAGGGTAAGGAGGGAGGAGAGGGGAAACAAGTGAGGGACCATGTACAAGGCAAACTGAGTGAGGAAGACAGAGATTAATGACACAACACAACGCCCTATCAACTCCCATGACGCCTTTACTTTCCTCTTCTTGTTGATTTCAGGCATTTTCAGCGCCAAAAGTTCTGTATAGTTTTCGTATCAAGTTTTTTGGGGGAGAGAGAGAGAGAGAGAGAGATACGTCGTTCAAATTGGGTGCTTTCTCGATGGGGTTGCCACTGTGGACCTTGGCCTAACATGTGAAAGTGATGACGGTCCCGACGGGCTGTTGGGCTACCCTTAAAATCACAATTTGGTGAGCTGGAGAGTGGCTGGACCAGTGGGCCACTGGGCAGATGGGCTAAACCAGCGTTGTTTGACTGAGCAAAAGTTGAAGTGAATAAAGTTTGATTTTGACTTATTTTACTTTATAAGCCAACTTCAAAGTATACTTGATCGAGCTAAAGACGAGTATCTTTAATAATTACACATTATTTTAATGATAATTAGCTTAAGTTGACATCAAATAATCTTTGATCGAGCCTGATGGTGTGAAAAAACAGGGGATGAGACGACTAGAGTGTTAAACCGTTAGTTTAATGCAAATGTAGGGTCTAATGATCATGAAAGAAGCAAACACAAGACAAGATGTGAGTGGTTCGTTAAGCTGAATAGTTAGATTAATACCCTATCAATAGAGTCTATTACTCTTCTCTATTATATTTGCTTGAAAAAAAATAATAAGATTATAGCAGGGGGTTAAGTACCTTTTTTTAGGGTATTCTCTTCTATTTTATATGAGGCTAAGTTCTTTGTCTTTATCATAGATTACAGGGTCGCCCAAATCCATTAGAATCATTGGGGGAATATTTGAATATTAGAGGCGATCAAGGTGACATTCTTAAGATGGTGGTTCGTTGTCCAAGAAAGCATGGGTATGTTGATCTTTTCCCTTTCTTTCGGACATGGACTTCAAGCTATCTTTAACTGATATGAAACTATTTGGTAATTCGAGTATCAAATGACCTGGGCTAGGTTAGGTCGCCATAATGTAGCTCGGTCTAGTTTACAATATCATCATAGTCAAACTTGAGTAGCTTGAATAGTTATATAGTATTTCAATGATAATTAGCCTATTGACTCAAATTAAGTCAAACTCAAAAAATAACGAACTTAAATATTTATTTGAATTCTTCGTATTAATTGATTTTGATCTTGAACTGAACACACGTAACATGGTTCGTTTTACAGCCCTAATTGTGTTACTCTAATAGAAAGGGGATTGATTGTCAATCTTAAAGCTCATGTTCAACGCAACTTAAGATTTATTTTCTTCTCGAAACTCAAGTCCATTAAGCAAGTTTAACTCGGTAAAATTAATTAGTTTGTAAAACTAATTCAAAAATAAATCCAAAGATATAGACCAAATGATATATTGTTGATCAAATAATATATTGGTTACGAAGACGATTTGAAAGGGTATGTACTCAACTGTAAGTCTGTAAACATACTCGAATGGTGCCCATGCCCCATGACCTTGTCTCCAGCTTTAGCCAGGTGATGTAATCATCACTTTATTGGATTAAGCACAAGACCGTTTCACTAAACACCAAGAAAAGTCTACTAAAAGTGTGAACATCGAATAGGGAGAGGGAGCATCACTTACGCCACTGAGCTGTCCTTACGGCGGGTCACATGCACCTGCCATATCACACTGCCTTTGTGCCCGGCCCCACTTGTCTTTTTATTATTTTTTTTGACCAAAAGTCTATTCAAAATAAAAGCACATTAAACTGACTCACAGACCGGCACTCGAGTTGATGATCAAGTTGTAAGTCCTGTTTGTTTTGAAATTGTTCTCGACATTCATATAATTATTAACTAGAATTTTATCCACGAAAATAATGTAGTTTGTAGCTTTTATTTTGATGGTACTGTAGTAATGTGATATTCTTTTGATTTAGTAGTTATGACATAAATTAGACATTTCTACTATGAGAGATCCTCATGATCAAGACTAAGTGTTAATACGTATCGATTGTCCCTCCGCTCTTTTACAAGTCAAAAAAATAAAATAAAATAACTCACAAACTCAATTCAAGCATCTTTTGTGGGAAGTTCATCTTGAATTTTGGTGAATTCGTATTAAAAATTAGTTATTGTATGTGCTTCAAGGCACAAAGTAATACAAAAATTGACAACAATAAACAAATCTGGATTCACATCCAAAAATTAAATCACAAATATAAAGAAAAGTATAAAAAATTTAAGCACTAATTATAATGGGGTTAAGAGGTGGTGGGCAGCAGTGGGAGTGTTAGGAGACGATGATGGTTGTGATGGGTAACAATGCCCATGGTAATAGTGGTGACAATCATGGGTGACAGCAGTGGTGGGTGTGGATGTGGGTGGTGATGGACGACAGTGATGATTGTTGCCAGTCGTAGTGGTGGCGGGTAGTGACAATGGTGGTGGTAGGCAACGGTGAATACTTCTGGGTAACAGTATGATGAGTGGTGGCGAATGACGGTGGTGGTAGGTGTGGTTGGGGTTGGGTGATAGTGGTTATTGACGACAAGTGGTGGTAGGCAACAATATGGTGGCAGTGGGTGGCGACGATAGTAATGAGATGATGGTACTAGTGATAATAAATATAAGAATAAAATAACGATGATAGTTGGTCGTGACGGTGACGACGGTGGTGGTGGGGTAGTGATAAGGGTAACGATAATGCTAGTGGTGGGGGTAACGGCGACAACGGTGGTAGTAGTGATAGTCGTGGGGCAGTGAGAATGGTGATGGTAAGGGTGATGGGTGGGACAACAACGGTGCTAGTAGGGTGGTAGCAACGGTGGAGGTGGTGATGGAAGTGTAGTAATAGGGATGATGGTGGTAAGACGATGGAGGTGATGATGGTGGTAGGGTGACGGTAATAGGGATGGTGGTAGTGGGGTGACAGTAATTGGGATACTNTCTAGTTATAATCAAATTGAGATAACACTAGATGACCAGGAGAAAATAACATTCACATGCCCCTTTGGCACATTTATATTCAAAAGGATATCGTTTGGACTTTGTAACACTTCAGNGGTGACAGTAATTGGGATACTGGTGGTGGGGCGACGGTAGTGATGGGTGTGGTGATAATGGTGATTATAGCAACGGTGGTGGTGGTAGTTGTAAGGTGGTGACAATGATGGCGGTGATAGTAGGGGTGATGAGTGTGGTGGTGGCAACGTCGACGGTGATGGTGGTGGTTTATTGTGGCAGAGGTGGTGGTAATAGTTGTGGTGCTGGGGTGAAGGTAGNTTTAGTGACATGGTTGAGAAATTTTTGGAAGTGTTCATGGATGATTTTTCTGTATACGGTGATTCGNGAGTAGTAGTGGTGGTGGTGGGGCAATGGGAGTGGTGGTGGGATGATTCTAAACACTATTTTTTTTATTTAAAATAGTTATAAGTCCTAAAAGCATTTTTTAAAAAGTACCATAAACACATCCTTAGGCCCTATTTTTTCTATTAAATTTGAGGTGTTAATATTAGCCTTAAGATTAATTTTAAAGTAAAATTCAAAAAGATCTCAACCGCAAAAAATAAAAGTCATGATTATCTTTTGAGATTTGAATTGTATTGAACTTTATTATATATACTAGTTATTTCTCGTGTCTGAAGGTACAGAATAATTAAAAAATGGTTAACAATAAATAAATTTGTATTTATACTTAAAATCAAATTACAAAGATAAAAGAGAGAGAGAAAAATGAATTTAAACACCGATTATAATGGTGGCAAGTGAGGGTGATGGGAAATGGTAATGGTTGTGATGAGTGAAGATGACCGATTGTTATAGTGGCAGCCGTGAGGTGGCAACGATGATGGTGATGGTGGGGCGGTGGAGGTGGGGGTGAGAATAATGGTTTGAGAGTGACGGTGATTGTAAGGTGGTGGTGATGGTAATTGGGGTGAGGGTGGTGGGGGTAGTGACAATGATGATACTGATGATGGTGGTTATTGTGTAAGAGGTGGTGGTGAGATGACAACGTTNTGTGGTGGTGGGGGTCGTTGTGGTTATGTGGTGGCGGTGGTGCTGCTGCTGCTGTTGCTGATGGGGCGATGTGAGTGGTAGTGGTGGTGGTGGGGCAATGGGAGTGGTGATGGGATGATTCTAAACACTATTTTTTATTTAAAATAGTTATAAGTCCTAAAAGCATATTTTAAAAAGTACCATAAACACATCCTTAGGCCCTATTTTTCCTATTAAATTTGAGGTGTTAATATTAGCCTTAAGATTAATTTTAAAGTAAAATTCAAAAAGATCTCAACCGCAAAAAGTAAAAGTCATGATTATCTTTTGAGATTTGAATTGTATTGAACTTTATTATATATACTAGTTATTTCTCGTGTCTGAAGGTACATAATAATTAAAAAATGGTTAACAATAAATAAATTTGTATTTATACTTAAAATCAAATTACAAAGATAAAAGAGAGAGAGAGAAAAATGAATTTAAACACCGATTATAATGGTGGCAAGTGAGAGTGATGGGAAATGGTAATGGTTGTGATGGGTGAAGATGACCGATTGTTATAGTGGTAGCCGTGAGGTGGCAACGATGATGGTGATGGTGGGGCGGTGGAGGTGGGGGGTGAGAATAATGGTTTGAGAGTGACGATGGTTGTAAGGTGGTGGTGATGGTAGTTGGGGGTGAGGGTGGTGGGGTAGTGACAATGATGATACTGATGATGGTGGTTATTGTGTAAGAGGTGGTGGTGAGATGACAACGTTGATGATGATGATGGTGGTGGGGAGGTGATGGTAACGGTGATAATACTGGTGGTGGTAAGTTAGCGACAATGGTGGTAAAGTGGCAGCAACGGTGGTGATGGTNTGATGATGATGGTGGTGGGGAGGTGATGGTAACGGTGATAATACTGGTGGTGGTAAGTTAGCGACAATGGTGGTAAAATGGCAGCAACGGTGGTGATAATGGTGGTGGGGCGATGGGGGTGTTGGTAGTGGCTATTGCGGTAGTTGGGTGGTGGTGGTGGGGTGGAGACAATGGTTGTTGTGGCGGACGTGGTGGTCACGAGGATAGTTGTGGTACGGGTAGTTGTAGTGGTGGGGCAGTGGAGGTAGTGGTTGTGGCATTAGAGGTGGTGATGATAGTAGTAGTGGTGAGGTAGCTCCAACACTACTTTTTTTTAAAAAAAAATACTTATAAGAAGTTATAAGTTCTAAAAATATTTTTAAAAAGTTATCTCAAACACAGTCTTAGAGTCATATTTATATATTAAATTTGGTAGGTTAATATTAACCATCAAATTATATTTAAAGAGATCTTAACTGCGAAAAATAAAAGTCATTTTATTTATCTTTTGAAATTTGAATTGTATTATATTTTCTTATATAAATATTCTATTTATATTTGATTTTTTTATGAATTCATGTTTAACAAATCATGTTATATTAGTTTTGTATTGTGTATAAACCGTGCAAAACTAATATATAAATGAATTATGTCATTTATTTATTTTAATTGACTTCAACATATACTCTATTTGGTTATTAATTGTGTCTTATCTGATTTACTCGTTCACAAAATATGTGACTTAAGAAATAATCAAATTATCTAATTTCGTATCCTATATACTAATACATCATATGGTATTTTAAGCTTATAATTTCATTGTAGAATAATTCAAACGACTAAGCTAATCAACTGTGTAGATTTGGCCCTCAACAACTGGTCCCACTCAGGCGATGTGTAAAAGTAATAACTGGTCCCACTCAGGCGAAGTTTATTATCGTATCCCTAGTATTCTAGGAGATACAAAGTATAGTTCAAGCGATGGACCATTGAAAATGGACGGCTGAGATTTGTTCATAACTCCCAACACAAGATCATGCCAAGTTGGTCTGGATACAGGGAATCAACTGTACGCACGTCGACCATGTGCCGCAGTTTTCGTTATTTGGGACCAACATCTAAGTCTTCTTCAGGCGTCCAAGTCTTCGACTAATTAGTTGTCTTCATCGGACGGCTCTGGTTTATTGTGAAGGGTTGAGCAGTTGTTAGTTAATGCTTGAGAGGAGTTATCGGCCCAAACTAGTCGGCTCGGCTTCAAGCCGGTTTAACTGATAGGTTAACCTATTTTTTCTTTTTTCAGTTTTTGGGAATGGTGATTGGTTCATTTTCCTAAACCCACCAGTCCCCACCACCAACCACTGCTTGCATGTGGACCACGTAGACCGTGGATCAGGTACCGCCAGGGTGGCACAAGATCGGACGTCTGAGAATATCCTATAAGTCTACTTTAGGGATAAAATACAGCAACACCCTCAAGTTTTCAATCAAATAGTGGATCTTTCCTTCACTTTTCCATAGATACAAAAATTTCATTTAGCCATCAAAATTAGTAAATCGTTTATTTTATATGATGAAGTAACTATATTAACTCAAATGAAATTGTTTTATTTGATTGAAAATACATAATAGTCGAAACAATTTTGATATAATATTTAGGTGTTGGAAATTTTTTTAGGGTTTTATTAGTAACCATAATGACATTGCNATATGATGAAGTAACTATATTAACTCAAATGAAATTGTTTTATTTGATTGAAAATAACATAATAGTCGAAACAATTTTGATATAATATTTAGGTGATGGAAATTTTTTTAGGGTTTTATTAGTAACCATAATGACATTGCTGACATATTCATCGGTATGTGACAGTAAGGGAGATTTTTGGAAAGTATTTTATTAGTCAAACGAGATTTTTATATCTATCTGGAAGTTCAGAAACATACGATGTTGATTGAAAATTATAAGGGTATATTTGTAATTTAATGTTGAATCTTGACTATGTCTATGGTCTAGATTATTCTGAATTGATGAAAAACAAGCCATCTAGTGATAATTTGTTTGACTTTTGGTGGAGGATCATGTGAAAAAAGTCATTTGATCAAGTATTCAAGATTGTGGATTAGGTGGTCTGCAATTGCTTAGTTGTAAGGAATCAAAATGCATGACCAAGGAAGGTAACCATGATTGTTCGAAAGAGATAATNAATTGCTTAGTTGTAAGGAATCAAAATGCATGACCAAGGAAGGTAACCATGATTGTCCGAAAGAGATAATCAATTATCCCTCATATGCGTAGTTTGTCTATCTCTTTCAAAAAAAAAAAAAAAAACAAGAATGTGATCGAGAAATAGGTGAAATTATTGTCTATATTCACTGAACAATTAATAAATATGCCGAGAATAACATTAATAAGATGATGTTGGCATACAAAACGATAAAAAAGAATTGAGACAATAACTTGTGATGTTAATTCTCTTATTTCTAACAAAGTAATACCCGAATTATTTCTAAGCACGATAATAGTATAATACTAGAGTGATTCTAACCTACCTTCATCATCATGTGCTCATGTGGGTATGTCATTTTGTTTTCTTTTGCATTGTTGGGGTAGATATGCCTTGTTAACCTTAGATTAGGTCCCTAACAAACCTCAGAGACAATATGATAGGATTTTGATGGCTCTAGCTAATACTAGTTGTCCCACATACCTGCCGTTGTGGTCCGTATTAAGTAGTCCGACAATTGGGTATTAGCACGAAGATCCATCTTGGTGTGAGACCAATTGACCCACCTCTGGAGCACTTTGTTGCTCCATAATTGGACCCTAACCCCCCCTCCCCTCTTTCCCTCTCTGCATGTGTGCACGCTTTGCCATTATTATTTTCCATAAGGCAATGTTGCTTATCTGGGTCCTACTTGATGTTGTTTTTTTTAGGAGGTCATCACTATTAGTAGTCATGCAAAAAGTAGTAAGGTGTTCAATTATCCGAAATTGAATTTTTGAAATATTGGTTAAGAGACAGTATTTAGGTAAAAATCATATTTTCTTAATTAGACAGGAATTTGATTGGAAAGGAGGGTGTCTGGGAATATTGTAGAAAGGGAAGACAAATGAATCGAATGTTGAAGAAAGATAGTTCAGCTGGATAAGAATGAGAAATCGTCAAGAATGACTTCTTTGTTTGTGAAACGAAAGAATAAATAGAGTGCTTAGAAATAACAATGATACCCTAAGACCAACCTCAGAAAATGAGTTTTCTGAGTTGAACTGGGCGCCAGAAATTTAAAGAAATGTTGGTAGCAATGAAGATTGGGGTGGCCCGCCCGCCACTGAGCTGGGTCTTGGTCCGGCTAAGTTTCTTAAAGGCGATGCTTCTTTTCAGAGGAATCATAGTTGACAAAGTTGAATACATAACTACAAATTGGCAGAACATGCATTGTGTTTAGATAATAAATTCATTAATAATAATATATTGTTTTATTTTTTTTAATAGGCAAGGAGACAAACTCACTCTCTCACTTACTTCTTGTCCCTTTCTCTCCTCCCTACCCTCCCTTTCTTTCTCCCCTCTATAAGACTACATCTATCTTTGGAGCAAACACACAATCTGTGTACCTGACTTTGGTTAACCACAAAAAATCAATCAGTTTCAACCCCCCCCCCCCCCCCCCCCCCAAAAAAAAAAAAAAAAAAAAAAAAACCGCATGTTTAAACCGTAATTNCCCCCCCCCCCCCACCCACATCATAATCACTAATGATGTACAAAATTGACTATGCACAATTAAATCAGTCGGTGTAAAATAATTAATAATAAGAGACAAAAATTAGATAGTTGGAGATAGGGGATCTAACCACTGAAAGAGGCAACGGTGATCAGAAAACTCAATTAATGATAGAGTACAAGGTAGTAGGAGAGAGAAAACATGAGTACGCTCAAGGTGCGGGGTGTGAGATTTGCTCTCATGTGTAAGAGATTTATAATTTATAAGCGCAGAGTTCTAACTGAGGTGGTAATGTAAGTGTCAAACTATTAATTTATCGGGGTAGATAGTTATAATTGGTATGAGCACTATTTTGAAATAATAATTATTCTGATGATTGCTCTCCCACGAGCGTTGAATCTTCTTGGACTTTTGAATTTTGGATTGAACTAAAGTCATGAGTTAAAATTGACATGCCTTTTGATAATTTGGACTCAATCTACCAACCGATCTCAAGCCTAGTCTGAATCCGGGCTCGTCAACATTAAATATACATTTATTAGCTTTTGCTATGCTGACAAAATTTTTTTATTAAGTTTTATTTCAAATGATGTAATATAATTTTTATCATTAAATAAGTAAGTTTTATTAATATTTAATAATAAAAATTGTTTATATCAGCATAATATTTTTGAAATTGCCCTACCACCGCACTGACCATCTGATTCACGCACACTTCTGCATTACTTGGTTTAACTTAACTGAAACAACAACCGACGTTACCAGTTTACCGTACACTCTCCGGTAATAAACCCTAATCCTAGACGAGCCCCATTCACTCCCCACTCGGCGCCACGCCGAGCCAACCACAAGCCATCCTCTCCAACCTCCACTAGCCTCTTTCCAGCTAAGACGAAAGAAAAACCACTAAACCATCTCTCGAGTTAAATCCTAACCCATGGTTAAGCTCACTCAGCCGCGCCACACAAAAACAAATCTCTTTCTCTATCTTTCTCATTGGTCCCTCTCTGTGTGCTCATGACCCCATCAAGACCACCGNTAAATCCTAACCCATGGTTAAGCTCACTCAGCCGCGCCACACAAAAACAAATCTCTCTCTCTATGTTTCTCATTGGTCCCTCTCTGTGTGCTCATGACCCCATCAAGACCACAGCTTTCTCGTTCTTGTATTCCCATGGAGACGACTACAAGTGCAACGACCTGCTTCTGCTACTCCGGTGACCGGTGGTTTAACCTCCGTCAGATTTAGCACTGCCTCTCTCTGTTCCTTCAAATTTGTCGAATTTTTCTTTCAGTTTTTTGCCGATCTTTGAGTTTTTAAGCAATGGAGTACGAAAAAGAAGCTCTGATACAGAATCTAATTGATATAGTGAATGAAATATCGGCGATTGCAGACTACCGGTGTACGGTCAAGAAGCAGTATTGTAACCTATCGAGGAGGTTGAAGCTGCTGACTCCGATGTTCGAGGAGATTCGAGATAGTAAAGAGCCAGTTCTTGAAGAGTCATTCAAAGCCCTAGCTTCTTTGAAGGAAGCTCTGGAATCAGCTAGAGACTTGCTTAGATTCGGAAGTGAAGGAAGCAAGATTTATTTGGTGCGTAAGTGTTTTCCGACTACGCATTTTGACCATTCGTTGAACTCTTCCGATTTTGTCAACAAGCTGTTCTGATTGATCTCATGAATTTGGATCGTTGCATTTGTTCTGATTTTGTTTTTCCGTTTTGTTGGATTAGTTTGTGATTTCTTTTAAATGCAATTTACGTTCTGTTTGGTTACTGAGAAAATTGGAGGAAAGAAAGTAAAGTAACAAAAAAGGGAATTAAAGAATCTTTGCTCTGGTTCTGTTCGGATTTTAAGAATAAAAGAAGAATTTTGTTGAACTAAGCTAGATACTACTTGTGCTTCCTTCAGATAAGGAAGAATCTAAGATACTTTTTTTTAAGAACTAATTTGAAGTTACATTTTTGTTGCTTTCTCCCCATTTTCTCAGCAACCAGACAGAGTCGGCCACAGGGTCTGTGGGTCTTGTTTTGTTTCTCATTGCTACTATGCCTATATTCAGAATCGATAATTCAGCAGCAACTAAGTTAATTGGAATTCACAGTTTGAATCTTCCTTCATGCTCATCTTTTCGATATGTTACCACTAAGATTTTTGTTTTGGGTAATCTATAGGGGAGTAACCTATGCAAAGTGGAATATATTTTTTTGGAATGATAAAAGTGGGAAATTCTCAGCCGCCACTGTGTTAATTTAGTTTCTGGCAATGCAAGGGAAGTTTTTGTCTTTGGTTTCATGAGTGCCCCTCTCACGTAGAAGTTATCAAAAAGTTTGGATCTTTCCCTCTCCACACATTAAAACTTGTCTTGATTAACTTCTTGTCTTAACCAGTTTCACTCATGCTAATTGTACGAATATATTAATTGCGAGTGGGTCTTCTTTCGTATTATATCTTATATTTTAGTGATGCGTCTTTTTTAGGACATAAGATAATTTCATTCAACTTTGATACTTTTTGCAAGTTGCAATGAGGAGAAGATAAGAATTTCTTTCTCTGTCTAGGCACTTAGGAAATTTGCCCATTTCTATGGAAACATTGTTGGTTTTTTGTCATTCTTTAGGTAATGCCTCGATTATGTTCCAGAAAACTTTGCTTGCAGTAGAGATATAATTGATTTTACTGGCATTCTGGAGTGAATTCCCAAGAATTTAATTTTATCAAAGTGAAGTCTAAATAATTTAGGATAGATTTCTTCTGAACCACAAAAATTTGGCTGCTTTATTTAACAATTTAAATGACATAAGTGGCTTGTTAGCTTTCATTTTATATTAAAAGAGAACATCTAGTTTATGCATGTCATACAGCTTGTTATGCATGAGCATGACGACAATCTGAGATTTGGATACTAAATGTGGAAGCAATGGCTTGAAGTTGGGCATCAAATTGAAAACTACCGAATATAAATGAGAAATAGAATTCTAGATAAGTTACTCTAAATTCTGGTGGTTCCATTAATCGTAAAAAGTTTCACCAAGACACCACCGTTGATCTACATATGCCCAAATGGGGCAACCCCTATATGTGGGGCCGATCATGGATCAGAAGGTGATGGCCCCAAAAAGAGTTTCTCCAATTGATTGGGAATTGGAGCCTCAATCTAGAGGAAAAGCATTTCACAGGGCCTGAACACAAAGAAGGTGCTCACTTAAAGTACCAGTTTCGATCTACCTTTTGGTCTTGGTTGTTTATTGTGGATTTGTGTGTATTTCCATCGCAAGGTTNAAAAGCATTTCACAGGGCCTGAACACAAAGAAGGTGCTCACTTAAAGTACCAGTTTTGATCTACCTTTTGGTCTTGGTTGTTTATTGTGGATTTGTGTGTATTTCCATCGCAAGGTTTTTTTGGAGTAATTTGGCAGTGGTTAGTCTCAGTTATCTTTGAGGTTTTCAGGCCTAATTCACATCATACTCCCAATTCACAGCACACCACCACTAGTACACTGCCTCCTGAAAATCAAGTACCCAATTCACAACACACACCCCTCCAATTCACTGCATACAATGAGAACACCATCAATGCACAACACCACCAATTGCACGTTCTGCAGTCTGTGCATAGTCACCAAAACACCAAAGCCTCATGTACAGAACCATAAAACCCCCTATGCAGAACACTAATTCCACCACCAGAACACGAATTGCTCCTGGTGGACCACCCCCACCTCTAGTTGCCCTGCCCCCTGGAAATCGACCACCCAATTGCACCCGTCTTCTCTACAAAATCACCCAAAACACCAGAACCACTANCAGAACACGAATTGCTCCTGGTGGACCACCCCCACCTCTAGTTGCCCTGCCCCCTGAAAATCGACCACCCAATTGCACCCGTCTTCTCTACAAAATCACCAAAACACCAGAACCACTAGTGCAGAAAAAGAACACCACCTGCAAGGATCTGTTATACTTTATCAGACTTGATTATTCAGAACCCTACTTCTTGATTTTGGACCCAATAAGAGTTGATTCAGCCATTCATTTTTTTGCTTTCAAAAGGTTAGAAGTATCCTAAGAGCGACAAAGGGGCGTAGCCCTTTTCAACCAGACGTATGCCTTTAGAACAATTATTTTTTAAGAAAAGCATGCCACGTGCTTATATCTATAAATACAAATATGAGCACACCTTAAGATGTAGGGAAAATGCAAGAAGTATTACTTGATAATTGACATAATATGCAACTTCACAACTTCGAAGGTGATTGCACAGAGTTGCATCCTTTTTTAACTGGATTATTTTGCAAGTGGGCGATGTTTGCCTGCATTTGCTCTTGTGGTCATGTGTGGTCAATCTTCCATTCTTGCTCGCATTAAGGTGAAGTGAAATCCTTGATGCGCTCACTTATTTTGATGAATTTTTTTTAGTAAATGCAGAGAAATGTGGTAGAGACTAAGAGTTGTATGTTGGTCATTGTACTGGTTGTGTTTCAAGATTCTATATTGAAAGGAATACCTATGTAATATCTACAAGCCTGTATACATCCATGCTGCGGTCATGCATATCTAAAAATGCGGTCCAGTGCACGAGGCTCCCCCCATTGCAGGGTTTGGGAAAGATCAAATGTACGCAGCCTTACCTCTACTTGCGGAGAGGCTGTTTCTGCTGTGGTCTATGCATATCTACAAACAAAAACACCAGAGGCATGACCATCTTTGGGAGCTCAAAAAGCATGCAAAATCATTAAAACCCCCCCCCCCCCCC